CCAAACTACATCAAATTTTTGGTCGATTGCAATAAACATTCCAGTGTGCGTGGGCGCGCACACATATGTAGATAACACTTGTACGTATAGTTTCCGCGCGTACCATTCTTAAAACCCGCAAAGACAATACACGCTCCGCCCACTCACTTCACCCGCGATGGTCTGACATAATTGTTGTTAACTTTATTTAAATTTCTTTCTACCCAACAGCGAAAATTATAAAAAAAAATTGTCGAGCAAAATTTTACATTACCAAATTTTTACTGGTTATGAAAAAATAACCCCGTGATTGATAAAATGAAAAAAAAGTAGCCTGAGATTCGAACCGGTAAACTTACATATTACGGCAAACATACTAGAATACTGCGCCAAACTAGTATTATATATATTGTGACAAGGCAAAATTTGATATTAGTTAATACGTATCTGTCATATTCGGCGTGACAAACTTTTATATTTAAGCGTTATGACAGGAGAAGAAAAATATTGGGTTGCCCAGTAAGCTCGTGCCGCTTTATAAGGAAAATTGAAACCCTGTTGTCTTAAATTTTTGGAAATGTTTTTAAATTATATTGGTACGACTCTATACCTAAAACGTCTTTTATTATTGGATAAAATTTTAAAAATTAGTTTTTATCTCAACCAATGAAATGAAATTATTCACAATATAGAAATTTTTGTGACGTTTGATAATGGTGGAAATCCGAAAATGAATCCACTTCAGCTACAGTCTATTGTAAGCTTTATATCGAAAATCAGAACGAACTTTCCGGACAACCTATAATGTTAATACAAAGTGTCAAATGAATGTAACAGAAGTAGTTTATTCCAAATTGTATCACAAGTATATAGAGATAGAGTTCAATTTTGTCAAATGTACCGATATTTTTGCGCACCTTGACTGCGTCGTTACTTATGACGCTGTGGCTGCTACGATATTTATGAGCATCTTGCATGTACTCATATATTTGACGCTGTGTATGTACCGATGTATTTGAGCAGGGTGAATGTATCTATTATTTTGAGGACTTTTGTTGTACCGATATAATTGATTACTTTTGATGTACCTATATATTTGCATATCTTGTCTGTGACGATCTATATGACGCTGACTGTACAATAGATTTAATATTGTCCCAACTATATGCGATTGTGGACTCAATTGTACAACTGTTATGCATAAGACAGCAATTAAAACACGTTGATATGTGTTTTTATATAAAAACACGAAACCACTGGACAGGTGTTGATAAAACTTTGACAATTAATACTCAGGGCAGTAATAATACAATTCTTTTTTCAACAATGATTCCTGCATTCAAATGAATGTTGATGAATCAAAATAAAACTAAATATAACGACAAAATAATTTGAGAATTATTAGCGTACTTGTTTATCTTACTGTCTTACAATTTTTATAAATGCGGATGTTTAGATGGATGGATGGTTGTTTTTAGAAGGTATCTCCAGAACGGCTGCACGGATCTCGCTGAAATTTAACATATATGAAAAAAATAGTCTGGAAGGACACACACGCAACTTATTACGTTTTTTCAATTCCATGCGGACGGAGTCGCTGACGACGGCTAGAGAAGTATAATTCATAGTTTTTATAAAATCATAATGTGAATTATTTTATCGTCGATTTATAATAATGAATATCGACTACAGTTATCAATTTGCTGAACTAATTTATTGATAAAAAATTAATGTAAAGTTGTAAGAACATAGACTCTAAATCTAAACCATTGCATGTTGTTATTTGTATGGATGGAGTGTGGACTAATCTCGTTAAATGAAAAACCTTAATCTCTGCCCACGCAGTGGCATAACGAGCGTGATAAAATTATTTTAAGCATTTTATAAAACTTTTTTGGATGCTTATAAACGAAAAAGTTTGTTTATTGGACTGTCCAAGTAGAATTTAAAATTGTAGAATAAAAAATCTAATTTGATTTATTTATTCTGACAGTTTTTAATAAATTTTTAAATCGTATTTCCAACATTGTATTAATAAAATAAATCGTACAAAATGTGCGATCAGGAATTTAGAACACTACGTTTCGATCCGCGGTATCCGTTTCAAAATCAGACAAAGTAAGTACAGAATAGAATTTTATAAAAATATACTCTTTATTTTTCGATTTCTTCTTTCATCGGTTCATTTGCCTTTACTCTAAATTCCATAGTCTTAGCCTACCCCTTTATTACGAGATTGGGAGGTACTGTAATTGTATTCTTCTTTTTGGCTCTTTGTCACCAGAAAAAGATTATCCTGTCGACGAAAACTTATCCATAATTAAATGTTTTCAGAGCTTGTTACGATAACTACTGCGACTTTTACAAATGCACTCGGCTACTTGGGGAAGTGGATGACTGTAAAATCTTCAAAAGATATTTCGAAACCATCTGCCCAAACTTCTGGATATCGCAGTGGGACGAACAACGGGGAAGGGGCGCATTTCCGGGACCAATATGACTTTTTTTTAGCAGTTGTACAGTTTTTGTACGATTATTTTTATATAATTCTGAGTATTTCTTGAATTTGAAATAAATTTTTATGAAAAGTATTGTATTACTAGTATGTTATTGTATTCCATATGTATGTATTACAAGGTGTAGATTTTATACAAATAAATCAAATGGAGCTAGGTTTTCTAAGAAGTTATTTTGCTAGAAAAAACTGAATACACGGTACTCATTAATTGATATACATTTAATGCATATAGCTAGAAAAAAAAATCATATTTCAAGTCTTGTAACCCCTTATTATTTTTACTGGATGTTTTCAGTATGCGCAATTGCTATTATTTTTCCAAAAGGTGCTGTAATCGAACCGTTTTTTAAAACAATTACTTTTCAACCAAAAAACAAAAAACCGTGGGCGTCTTTAAACTCGATAGAGCTTTATCGGGTTGGATAGCATATAAACATTTAAATAAAACCAAAAAATCGTAATTAACTCATTTAATTATCTATCATTGCTTCCTAAGCGAAAATTAAATTAAATATAACAACGTGACGACGACTTAGATTTTGCCGGGGAAGGTGCCCTCCGAGCGCTGGGTGTCCCACTTCTCGACCCACTCATTGGGGCAGAGTGACTTGTACACGCGAAAGAAGTAGTTGCAGGGCTCGTACTTCTCCCCCCTCACCTTCTGGCACCGGTGGAAGTCCAGGTAACTCTGGTAGCAGTGCCTGGACATTACATATAGTCACCTTTTCTACCAAAAACTACATTTCCTATTAATTGCCAAATGAAGTCAAGTGAATACAAAAACTTTCATTACAATGGATTTTTTGTATTACATATGGTATGTTTTAATAACCCAAGTTGTGTTGTAGCCTTGATGTACTCTAAATTTAATGTACAAAAAATTGTGCAGTTAATTCTTAGCAAATTGCATTTCCGTCTACGCGTCGTATTGCAGATGAAACTCAACAACTTGGCCCGCGTCCAAGATAATATCGATTTTATTCGGTCATGATGTTCAATGTATTAGTTGACCAAAGCCATCGCTGAGTAAAGTACAATGCTAAATTATGTATGGATTTCAAAACAAGAAACACACAAGCGGGATTTAAAAAGCAACAATCACAATGTATGGAAGATGGATAAAACAGAAATCACTTATGTTGATTATACTTGTATGAAAGAAAATCATATCACAAATACTTTTACATTTGTAAATTTTACACAGGTTATATTTAAATAACTATTTAATTAATTTTAATGAGTTTAATTTATATTTTCTTTCTTATCTAATATATATCTTAAACTATGTTAGTAAATAATCAATAAGTTTTAAAAACATTTCAATGGGTACATGGTAAGGAGGAACATGGTAATGACTGCAGGGCGGGAGATGTTTCCAATTGTCACCACTGGTGTAAGTAAAAATGTGTCTTTACATTACCTTGTCTGGTTTTGGTTAGGAAACCGAGGGTCGAAAGGAGCTGTTTTGATGTCGGCGGGCGATTTGATCATTTCTGGCATTTTACTGCAACCAAAGAACAAGTAAATTCATTCTTTTTGTTCTTTATTAGCTGGTTCACAGAGACTAAATAGACAATGATGATAAACATATAATAGAAAACGAGATTGTTAAATTAAACATAAGCAGAGTTTGATACAAAAATAATATTTTTTTATTTAACGAGAGGCCTAGTCTTCCTTTCCTCCTCACAAGAAGTCTCTCTGTATTTTTTAACTTCCTGCATATAAAGTGACCAAGCATCTTTCGGAGTGTTGTCAACGGTTTGTTCATCAATAGCTTTTGCTTTCTTTACCAAGCCAGTTTTAAGAACTCTGCCCCCTCGTCTTTTTCCTATAAATGGCAAAACTGGTTTCTTAATTGGCTTTTTGTCTGGCTCATCAGTTGGCTTAGCGACCTCTTGCATTTTCTTAAACATTTCTAAGAAGCTACCATCATTTTTAATAGGTAAAGCCATAGGTTTAGATTTGGATGTTGAAGGAGAACTTTGTACAACTTGATCGGGTGCGGGGAGCAATTCAGCAAAGTTGGGGCCTTCTATTTCCGGTGGATCACCATACTCAATGTCATCCACTGTTGTAGACTCCACGGCACCTGGAGGTGGTTTCACCTCCTTCTGTGGACTCTTAGCTCTTTCCTTCTCTTCCTGTCGGCTTCTGTGCATTTTCCAGTAACGTTTCCTGTCCGCGACGGTAAATTGTCCGCGACGTTCGTCATCACTTTGAGTTCCACTGCGACTACGAGATCTAGACTTCGATTTGGACTTTGATGTAGAGTTCCTTCCTTTTCCTCTGGATAATGATCGTCGTCGAGACTGAGATCTGCTTTTGCTTTCAGAGCGACGTTTTAAATTTCCCTTTGAGCGAGATTTGCGTTTAGCTGACTCACGTCTACTACGATGATTAGACTTTGATCTTGAATGCCTTGAGGATGCTGATGAATGGCTGGATACTGATCTAGATCTGGAATGATTAGATTTTGGAGTGCCTGATTGATTACGTTTAGATCGCTTCTTTGATGAGTTAGAATCAGAGCTGGAAGAAGATTGACTCCTGGCGTAACATTTTGGAGGTGTAACAGAACTATCTCTTGGTTTTCTCTGTGGTGGTGGAGATCTTCTGCCCTTGTTTTTATATTTCCTCGGTGGTGTGAGTGAATGGTCAGATCTTTTATGATGTTTTGATGATGTTGGTGTTGCAGGTGAGCTATCAGATTTTTTATAAGCTTTTGATGGAGTTTCAGATGGTTCCTTTTGTTTCCTAGTCGATAACATTTTACTTTTTCTCTTTTCTTTACTAGAATAAGATCTCTCTTTGCGCCTCATTTTTTCTCGTTCAACACTGGCTGACTTTTTACGAGCACTTCGCTTACCACTAGGAGTACATGAACGATTGCGAGAATGTGTCTTACTCTTCTTTATGGGAGGTGTCAAGGAATGGTCACTGTCTCTACGAGATCTTCTTACATACTTTTCAGAATGTGATGACTCTGATGAAGGACTTCTTTTCCTTGTATTTTTCTTCAATGGTGACCGAGAGTATGACCTAGATCGTGAACTAGAATGGTCACTAGAAGAATACTTAGCATGCCTTGACTTAGATCTACTTTTAGAGTGTCTTTTTCTACTACTATCATCGTAACTACTTTCCCGTTTTCTTGAATAAGATCTTTCTTTTCTCTTATATGGAGACACACTTCTAGACTTAGACTTATAAGACGCCTGCCGCCGGTCGCAGGCCGCGGTGTCGGACGGAGAACGGGACCGCGCTCGAACCCTAGTATAATCGTAGCCGCTCGGTGCCGCAGAATAAGCATCCCTTGCATCTGGGTATTTATAATAGCCGTCAGACCGAGAATAATAACTCGAATCGTAATTGTAACCATAACCCGTGGGAGCATAATGCTGGTAATCGAAGTGGGGCTGGCCGTAGGAGCTGTAGCTGACGCCGGTCCAAGGGTCCGTAGTGGGCATGGGCGGGGCGAGCGGCGGGGCGTGCTGCGTGGCATAGTCCGCCTCTGCACCGGGCGGCCCGCCGTCCCAGGCCCCGGGAGCGCCGTACGAGGACATACTTATACCAGCCTCTTCGCATAACCTGCGGCAGTCTGTAGGTAGGCACACACCTACAAACAGAATAACTTTTCGGTGTAGACAACAACTCTGCTCTCCCCGCTCGTGAAAGGCCTTCGCAGAACGGTATTGATGAATAGTAGTACAAATACATTTTTGTGTCGAGAATCAACAAATTACGTAATCCGAGCCCGAAATTACAGATTTTGGCTAGGTTTAGGCATGCGTTACATGTAAAGCTTAAAAAATAAAAGATAATAGTACCTGTCTACGTATGCTCACCTTTTTTGTTTGGAAAATACTTTTCTTAAGGAAATTTAATAGAAAATGGCAGCGAACACATTCGCTTCACACGTAACATAGACAATAAAAAAGATTGATAAAGCTAGAGTTGACTTTTAAAATGTAGCCAGTGTTATAATATCTCAATGTTTTTTACATTAATCAATTATAACTGTATAAAATGATAAATGTATAAGTTTCTAATACCGATGAAGTCAGATATTTTTGTGTCAAAAAGATGTCTGCGCTTGTCAGCCCTTTTATTGGAAAAATTACTCAGTCACTCACAATCACAATTTAATGCTGTTTTTATTTATAATCTGTGACTGTTGTTAATGGCATCTTCCCCTCTTGTCAATTGCACCCAATCTCAATTGTCAAATCAAAAGCAAACTGATTTGCAAACCGCAAACAAATATTATAAAGCGTTGAATTTACATGTTACAGTATTCGGAAACTAACTTTTCTAATTGACTTTATCTAATGAGCAAGTCAAAAGTTTCGGCAGAATGGAAGAAACGAGTAAAATCGGAGTATATGAGGCTTCGCCAAATGAAGGCAAGGCCTCGCTGATTTTATGTTTTTTTTTGCTCTAAATGCTAGTTTTTGTTTTGCTTAATATTTATAAAACCTGCTTTTATATAATGAATACATTTACCGCTATTTTAGAGATTCAAAAGAGCAGACGAAGTAAAGGTTGCATGGGCGCGAAACCTACGTATAATGTCAGAGGCGATAGAGGCGCGTGAATCGGAGACTGCGGAGCGGGGGCGCAGGCCTTTTTGGCCTCCTCCGTCGCCCAGTCCTAGTCACGAAAGTCTTATGAAAAGAGCTGAAGTTACATATACAGATTGTAAGTATAAAATTTAAAATTTCCATATTTTTACTTCATACAATGCATGTGTGCCGACTCTGCAGAAGGAAATTGTCATAATATATCTTATTTCGATATATTGATGTGGCAAAATCAGGTAAATACCAAATGTTAGTATTTTGTCAATTCCTCATTTCAGCATCAGGAGTTGTGACCACACAACAAGTGCCGATTCGTATCATTAACTCTGTAAACCCCATACCTACTATGTACACATGGGCACCAACTCAGAAGAATTTCATGGTGGAGGATGAGACAGTGCTTCACAACATTCCGTACATGGGGGACGAGGTGTTGGACCAAGATGGGACATTCATTGAGGAACTCATTAAGAACTATGATGGAAAAGTTCATGGTATTTATATCACTTTATTTACAATCTTTAACTTTTATTTTAAGTTGATTTAATTGTAAAAAAAGATTAAAATATCTTAAGTATGGAATGGATTTTACCATTAGTTTAGAATTGATATGTTTATTGGTTTTGTAATTTCAATCATCAGATAGTAAACTAAATATCACCAGAAAGTTTTGTTAAAATTATCATTATAATTCTAATATGGTATTGTATCTCCAGTTATGAAACTCATTATTTCCTCCGTAGGTGACAAAGAAGGAGGTTTTATAGATGACCAGCTGTTTGTGGATCTGGTACATGCTTTGATGACATATCAGACAAAAGACGAGGTTGCTGAAGAGAGAAAGGAGAGAGAGCTACGTAACTCTAAAGAAGATAAAGATGTAAGGATTATTCGTTTTACATCTTAAACTTTGCAAGTTTTAAAAGCTAATATTTCAGGAAAAATTGCTAATTTATTTATTTGCTATGTTTGCAGAAAGACACAAATAAAGAAGGTAAAGAGAAGGAAAAGGACAAAGAAGAAGTTAAGGATGGTGACAAGAAAGCAGTTGTTGACAAGCAGTTCCCAATCTTCACCATATTCCAAGCTATCAGCTCACAGTTCCCTGACAAGGGCACCGCTCAGGAATTAAGGGAGAAGTAAGCCTTTTTTGATACATTGTTTTATCATTCCATCATTTGGACATTCTTAATATTATGAATGCAAGAGTTTGTACGGGTCATAGAAAACAACTTTATAAATCAAATCAGCGAATCTGCTCGTAGGGCAGCTCACTTAGCTCCTGCATAGAGTTATGATTTTCGTTTCGATCTGTGAAATGAGAGTCACCAGTCACCAGGCATGTCAGGGCTTGTCAACTTATATAGTGATAGTACATTGCCATGAGATGTCAAGTTATTTGTTGATTTGCAGCTCAACAGTTCAAGTGTAACTGTTATATCGGTTGAGAGCTGATTTACACACATGTACATGTAGGTACGTGGAGCTGACGTCACTGCGCGACCCGGACGCGCTGCCTCCTGAGTGCACTCCCAACATTGACGGCCCGCTGGCAGAGTCAGTCCCTCGCGAGCAGACCATGCACTCCTTCCACACGCTCTTCTGCAGGCGCTGCTTCAAGTACGACTGCTTCCTGCACCGTGAGTTTCACACTATCTCCTCTCTCATACAACTCTCACTCACATACAACATACAACACTCTGTAATACTCAAAATATTTTTTTTTATCTTATAATAATTAACATACAATTTTAATGTTCAAACAACATATAATGTAAATAAACAGACATATATTTGTCTGATAATAACTTAGTAAAACATATCTAGACACATCTAATTTATAAATAGTATTCTCTTTTAGAATCAATAAAATTGTTAAAAAGTTATTTTGATGAATTTAAAATTTATAGGCACTGATATAATATGCATAATGGGTGTTTATATAAAAAAAATGAATACTTAACCATAGATAATATTGCATAGTACAATGTATGGGCTGACGGCATGTTGTCTGTTTGGCTGACAGGCAGTCAGGGCGCAGGTAAGCCTGTCATCCGCAACCTTTCATTACTTTGCTACTTCTGCAGACCGCTGCCGCTCTGAACACATTTATATCATCTCTCGCACTAACAACCACACTCAGATTTACTGCTCATTTATACGACCCCTCAGAGCATTTACAATTTTACAAGAATTGCCTCACTTAAAAACCATTACATAACAGGGTGTGGGAGTTAAAGTATACTATTTTGAGAAATCTATAATATAGTTAATGAAGGGTCATGAATCTATGCTAAGGGGCTGTTTGACTATTAAGTAATTCTTATAAAAAAGAAAAAATCTCTGTGTGTGGTAGTTATTGTATATTATTTATAGTAATATTCCCTGTGTATGGACAATGGAAACGCACCCTAAATATTTAATGTCGCCCGTTACTTTGCTCAGTTTTTTTATTTGTGCAATCCTAATTTAACCGTTCCATCACATCATATGATTATTTTACTTTAGTTGTTTGTAGTTATGTGTTTAAAATATATATAACCAATTATTAAGACTACATAAGTAAGATGTGGACAAATTATGTACATGTATAAAACAAAAATTCAAAATTATATAGAATTTATGATTCGAGAATAATTTCCCAGTTTTCAAAATTAATATATTTATGCACCAAGTAATAAGTTCTAAGTGTATATGTTCAAGTATGCATGTAAGGGATGACAGTTGTGCGATATTTAACATACAGTAATATGTATATATTTTTTATTAGTAATTAATAAGTAAATTATTGTTAAAATTAATTGCGTGAATGTTTATTTAAAGGGAATAATTGCTGATGTATGTAAAATAGTATATGATTTGAGTGTAGAAAAAAGATATATGTGTATGAGATAGAAGAATGTGTGATTTGTATGTTGAGCGAGCGCATGCGTGTTGATGGCAACTGTTGTGTTGTATACAGTTAACATTAAATTAGGTTTACAAGCGTGCCATCCCGGACCCAACCTGACCAAGCGCAAGGGACCTGACCTCAAGCCCTTCGCTGAGCCCTGCGGAGCCAGCTGCTACATGCTCTTGGTGAGTACAACACACGACAGTACTCAGTGACTCAAAGAATTGTACTCCAAGAGCCAACAAAATAGCCAAGGAGCTAAATAATTATGACTTTGTCAACTGGTTATTGTCTCTTACCTTAGAGTAAAAAAATATTTTTTTCTTTAGATGTTACCATCTTCAAATATTACTGTAATAATCACCACTTAAGATATATTACATTTATTTGCCTTCTTATCTTTTTACAATATATTTGTATGTACGTGTGTGTGTCAGGAGGGCATGCGGGAGAAGCTGGCGCGGGAGCAGGCGGCGGGCGAGGAGGAGTCGGGCAAGACGCACGCCATCGACTCTCCCAACGATGCCTCCTCCGAGGACAGCAACGACAGCAACAGATACCAAAAAGGTATTCATTTCCCTACCCCCTCATACAACTTCATACAAATTCAAAGGATTATCATGTAACTTGGTTACTGTTGGTAAAAGATAAACTTGGAAGACCGCATTTTTTGTATCTACAGGTAGCAACAGCAACTCCAGCAACAGCAACTGGAGCTCCAACGGTGTGGGCAAACCTGCAGAGCCCGCCACATCAGCAGACCCCGCGTACAACGCACTCGGTATGTCCTCATCTAACCTAATTAAATATAACCGAGTTATTAAGTATAGTTGAATGTGTAAATGTGTGTGTCGGTGTGTCAGGTCTGACGGTGGGTGACATAGAGTCGGAGTGGACGGGCTCGGACCAGTCTCTGTTCCGCGCGCTGCACAAGGTCTTCCTCTCCAACTACTGCGCCATCGCACAGCTCATGCTCTCCAAGACTTGTCAGCAGGTAACTCATCGGAATTCCACATATCAAGTCACAATAAATTTTCTTCATTAATACCAAAGATTTTCGACCTTTCTTTGAAAGAATCAGTAAATTTTACACGACAATCTTATAAACTGTGCATAATTAAAAAAAAATGCTTGTTAAATTGCTTAAATGTTCTACCAGATAGTGTACTACATTTATACCAAATTTCATCCAGATCCACGCAAGCATTCCTGAGATATCTTCTAAGAAACATCTGTCCATCCATCTAAACTTTGTCATTTATAAGATGAATTGCAGGTGTACTCGTACTGGATCCGCACCGGGCAGGAGGAGTGCCGCGTGGAGGCGGAGCTCACCCCCCCGCGCAAGAAGAAGAAGAAGCACCGCCTGTGGTCCGTGCACTGCCGCAAGATACAGCTCAAGAAGGATTCCGCCTCGCACCACGTGTCAGTTCACTGTTGCTAGCCCTCCAGCCCCCCAGCCCCATAACCCGATAGCCTAAAGTATCAAATCTGTTCAACCTTTTGTATGTATGTTGCAGATACAACTACACGCCGTGCGACCACCCCAACCAGCCGTGCGACAACATGTGTCCCTGTCTGCAGTCACAGAACTTCTGCGAGAAGTTCTGCCAGTGCAGCAGCGACTGTGAGTCTCCTCACCACCACCTCACACACATCACACCTTATTGTATACAGTCGATTGAAGTTAATCTATTTATATCAATCTATTTAAAAACAAATGATATCCACTATTCCGCTGAAACACTGGTTCAAAAACATATTGTTGTCTCATTTGTGGGTTGAAAATTTTGTAAGAATCATTCTCAAAGGACGACAACGCACCACCTTTAGGTTTGTGAATAGATGGCAATAATCGTCTGTGTTCCCGCTGTTTGTTTGGCACTTTTTCTAACAAAAGCACGTGTTTAATGTTGTGCAGGTCAGAACCGTTTCCCCGGATGCCGGTGCAAGGCGCAGTGCAACACGAAGCAGTGCCCGTGCTACCTGGGAGTGCGCGAGTGCGACCCCGACCTGTGCGTGGCGTGCGGCGCTGACGCCCCCGCCCCCGCACCCGCACTCGCCCTCGCCCTCGCCCCCGCCCAGCGTCACCACGCGCACGTCTACTGCCGCAACGTCTCCGTGCAGAGGTACGGAATTCTTACCACCATTCAGCTGTTGAAGGAGCTCAACCTTTCCTACCTTATCTTTCTTAACAATATAATTATGGTAAAAACCGGGAAAATTTCAAGAAACACATACCAAATAACCACAAATTCCTTGGCCGAAAATATAACGATTTAACCCAACTCACATCGCGTAGATCAGCCGCTAGAGGACCTTAAAATTAATAATTTTACTAAATATTTATTCTTCAGAGGTTTGCACAAGCACCTGCTGCTGGCGCCGTCGGACGTGGCGGGGTGGGGCATCTTCCTGAAGGAGGCTGCTCACAAGAACGAGTTCATCTCTGAGTACTGCGGCGAGATCATCTCACAAGACGAGGCAGACCGCCGCGGCAAGGTGTACGACAAGTACATGTGCTCCTTCCTCTTCAACCTCAACAATGGTACGTTCACACTGACAAAACTTGTTCGTCTCACTTTTAAAATATTTTTATAAGTCGAATGATCTCTTCATTCATATTCAATACAATACAATACATGATATGTAAACTTGCTTTATTGTTGTTTGTTTGTATGTTGTCAGACTTCGTGGTGGACGCGACGCGCAAGGGCAACAAGATCAGGTTCGCGAACCACTCCATCAATCCCAACTGCTACGCCAAGGTGATGATGGTGAACGGTGATCACCGCATCGGCATCTTCGCCAAGCGCGCCATACAACCAGGAGAGGAATTGTTCTTTGACTACAGGTACATAGATAAACTAGACTAATTCAAATTTATTTTTATGATCCATGGAATCAATTATAAGACTGCCATTGATAATATCTTGCGAATAAAGAGATAATTATGAAAATTTGACAACTAAGAGCAGAAGTATGAAGTTACAAAACAAAAACATACATACTACTCGAGAATCTCCTGCTTTTTGAAATCTGTTAATGAGCAACAATGAACTACAATTAATCAGCAATGTTGAATGTTTTCATTTCAGATACGGACCGACGGAGCAGCTGAAGTTCGTCGGCATAGAGCGGGAAATGGAATTCTTATGAGAACAAAGCAAACAGTGACTTGTGTCACTAACACTGCGTTCCCACTGCCAATAAACATTGGAGAATAATATATTGTTTACAATGAACATGTTTCCCACGCGGCAGTGGAAACAGACTCGTCAACAAGTGCCTGGTGACGTGTGCACATGACGTAGTGATGATTCACTCGTCACTAAGACTTTTTGTATTTTATTATTTACATATAACGTGATATAAATTGTAACAATGTATTCTTTTAGTCTTAACAATTTGACAATTACATTTTTGCTACAATCAAAATTTACTTTTTTTCATCATCAGCTCACTAAACATCCTCACTGAGGGGATCGGAGCTTACCCTAAATAGGGGTGACTACGCCATAGTCAACCACGCTGGCCCAGTGCGTTGGCTAGGTTGATACATACCTTTGAATTTCTTCACAGATATGTGCAGGTTGCATCACATTGCTTTCCTTTACCATAACAATGTCGGATAAATGTACATATTTAAATTAAAAAAAAACAAATTGGTACATGGCGGGATTCGAACCCAGGACCTGTATATTACAAGTCAAGTGCTTTATTACAAAGCAACTGACATTCTTGAATATTATAAATGCAAACAAATAATAAAACAACATTTAAAAACAGTGATTTTATTATCATAACAAATGATACTATTACTAATTCTGTACAAAACATTTGTGTGACAGTTTGTTGTGCAATCTGTATCATTACAAGTGTAAACAGTCCGTAGAATAAAACACTTCCAAATACAACAGTATGCAACTCACAGCATAATATTGTTCTTATCACATTTATTGAATTAATAATCCACATATCAAATATTAAATTTTGTTACAAACTTTGAATATAAAAAAATTTGTATCAAATGTTGAAGAAAAACTTAAATTCATCACTTTAATAAAGAAATTGTACATGAAATTTAATGTGTTGTTTCTATTCGCTACAAATATAGAACACTGGATTAAAAAAAGCAATTGCTTTATAGTTAGTCCAAATACTTTTAGATATATTATATACACTCTAATATTCCATTATATACAAACCTCTATTTACAACAAAAATCTGTCAGTCATAGGTAGATTATGACTAGATAACATCATGTGATAAATAAAAATAAATTATGCTGCTTATTCCACCACATTTGAGTTTTTTAATATTGATGGCTTGATTGGTGGTCGAGTAACAAAATCTGCAAAACTTCAGCTTTTTAGCTTCATGTTTTAGGTTGAGAAACAAAATTGCATACATAACTGTACAATAACAATATTATAAAAAGAAAGTATTGGACTGAGAACCCTTATCCCATATATTCATAGCTGGCTACTATGTAATGATTAATGCTAGTCACAAGATCCATCAGGCCAGCCATCTCGCCATCTCTCGTGCACTTTGCTGCAGTCAAACACAGGCTTTCCCAACTTTTTGTTAACTGTGTTGTGTCTTTCACACAACCATTTAGCTAGCTCATCTCTCGTTTTTGTCTTTGGTGGATGTGCCTTAATACTGAAAGAAAGCAATAATAAAGCATTTTTCATAGTAAAGAAATTAGCAATTAATATACAAATGGAACAGATAAGCAATATATTTTTGAGATGATGAGACACCTAAATGTATACACATGAAATAATTAATGGTTCCAAGCCTTCTTATATGTTTAGTAAATACATATAGAGATGTATAAAAATGGGTTTGAACCATGCTGTCTTCATTATAAATAGCTAAGCTTTGATTTTTATTTAATTAAAAATGTACTTACTCTTCTCTAAAGTCTATAGCACATGGCTCACATGGATAGAATTCTCCAAACAGTGTGAAAAATTTATCCATGTCTTTTGCTTGTGAGGTAGTGGGTTTCTCAGGGTAATATGAAGCCATTGAATGTAGGAATCCCCATGTGGAAGTCCCTAACTCATCTTTGTCCAAAGGGCAATCCTTTCTCTTTTCTGGTTCTGGGGCCTAAAATAGTAATGGTAGTAAATTATTTTTTCCAAATATTTTAGAAAATAATTGACAAATTGTTTTTTTTTATCTATTTTCACATCGATATTTATTTGTCCAATTTAAACTTAAATATTACGTAACTACAAATATTTATTATTAAAACAACTATTATAGATCAAATTCCTGAAAACATTACGAAGGTTATAATGGCAGTACAAATATTATGCTTTTCACAAGAGATTCAGAGAATTTTAAGTAACCTTAAACCTTATCAGTATAACCTTACCGGTGCATTCGTCGGCGGGGCAGGTGTTTCTTTCTTAGTTTTTGATTGCTTCTTGGACCATGTTTTAAAGTCATTGCAAGCTCTGCAAGGCTTATCTTCCTCTTCATGAGAAGGCATATTTATTTCAACTTATTCGTCCTCATGAAATCAAAGTTAAAGTTGCGCAACATCACTACCTTTATGTAAACCCTAGATCATTTTGTGTTATTTTGTATTCCGTTTAGTTTCTAAAATTTTATAATTTGCTAATATTAAAGTAATTTGCAAAATAAGATTTTAAATTTAAAATTTTCGCCCCGATCAACAAATTGTCATTTGCTGTCATATGTCAAAGCAAATTCATTTCACATGACAAGTTTATCTAGTGTGCTATGCAGAAAAAAGTGACCGATTACAAAAAAATTACCATAAACTTTTATTTTATAATATATCAAAGAATGTTTTGGAATATTTATTCGTTTTTTTCTGTTTTAGAAATAAACAATTCTTTTGAATACTTATAAAAACCCTTTCGTAATCTTAGACAAACGAAAGTGCAGTAACATACTTGGTGAACCACGTTATCTACAAACAGCGTACATATACATCGAGTACCTACAAATAGAGGGCTTAAGGTTTTGCGCAAACACAACTTATATTTGTAAAGGAGACAGGGAAAGTAAATGAAAAATTAAATAATGTCTTCAATATTTAATATATTTTAATTATTTTTACACATTGACTAGCTTACATGTAAATAACATACATCATACATAATATATTTGATTATAACTTACAATAAAGCTTAATAAAATTTTCGTAACATACGATGTTTGTATGAAAACTCAACAGCATTTTATTTGTTCCGTCTTTTATGTTAAGTAAACAGTCCTCAGACAGATAAAGTGTACAAATTCAACTGGTGCTCTCACACGCCGCTACGATTTCTGAAACATCAAATATATACACATTACAGTAAATGTTGAATTGTTGGAATTGTATAGTTAGTGTGTGAGAGTGTGGCCGTACTGTCTAGTATCTGGTCCATGGCGACGAGGGTCTGGGAGCCCGGGGGCTGCAGCTGCAGATAGCTATGGCCGGAGTCGGCGGCGCGCGCCAGCAGCGGCTCCAGCGGCAGCGCGCCCAGCAGCGGCACCTCCAGCTCCTCGCACATCGCCGCCGCGCCGCCCGTCGTCGCTGGGAACACCTCGCTGCGACTCTGACACACACATACACACAACTCATACAACAACCTGAACCGGTTTCTAAACAATATTTTTGGTAGATTGAGGTTAGGTACCTTGCAGTTGGGGCAGACGAAGACGGCCATGTTCTCAACGACGCCGAGCACGCGCACTTCCAGCTTGCGGCAGAAGTTGAGCTCCTTGCGCACGTCCAGCAGCGCCACCTCCTGCGGCGTGCTCACCACCAGCGCGCCCGACAGCCCCGCGCCCGACAGGTACTGCACCGCCGACAGGTGCTCGTCCGACGTGCCTGCGCACGCGCCCCGTTATCAACGTGTGCAGTGTGCATGGTCAATGTGTGCAGTGTGCATGGTCAATGTGTGCAGTGTACAGTGTGCATGGTCAATGTGTACAGTGTGCATGGTCAATGTGTACAGTGTGCATGGTCAATGTGTGCAGTGTACAGTGTGCATGGTCAATGTGTGCAGTGTACAGTGTGCATGGTCAATGTGTGCAGTGTGCATGGTGGGGTCTCACCTGGCGGCGTGTCAATGAGCAGGTAGTCGAGCTCGCCCCACTCCACCTCGCTCAGGAACTGCTTGATCATGCCTGCCACAGTACAACAAAAGATTACAACATTGCAACGTCACCTTTTGCTTCCGAAACATAACTTATTTTCCAAGCACAAAAGTGAATCTGATATAAAGCTCACCATTTTTCTTGGGCCCCCTCCATATGACCGCGTCGTCGGGACTGCCCAGCAGGAAGCCGATAGACATCAGCGACAGATTGTCACCCACGTACTGATGACAAACAATTTTAATTTAACCCCGAAATTAATTATGTTGTAGCCACACATATTTAGAACATTCGATAAAAATCGATTCAAAATACATTATCTATATTAAATATTATAAGGAGGAAAGATTTTATTGTGTGTTTATTAGTATTTAATAGATTTTTTTAAAACCACGCGTATGAAGTCGCGCCAACTGCCGTAGATAGTAAAGTAATTCGGGATATAGGGTTCAACTGTTTCATTGATATTATTCAGTAATAGTATTTTTCCATTTGTATATACATCGAGTAAAAGCATGGATTAAGTTATAGTGCATTTTCAAGAGTTGTGCTCGATATAAAAGTGTATAATTTATATTTGTTGCGAGCGCAACACAGCGGCAGATAAGATATCACGATAACTGTAAAAACTCTGATTTGATCTCATTCTATGGGAAGTAGAAATAAATATTTTATATAGTGTCAAAATGAAATGTCAATTCCATGAATAATATCTAGGAATCGATTTAAATATTTATACGCCACGTCACATTTATGAAATTAAAAATAATAATATTACTTAACCTATAAATTACAAAAATAATACTTGAATATTTAACAAATGAATATACAGGAGTTATTGAAATGAAATGACTGTTTCGCAAATTGTTTATCTTACCACAGGTGACCATCCAGAACCGGAATAATGTACTTGTTCGCCGCGCACGCCGAGCATGCGCGGCTGGCTCGGCCCGCAGATGTCCGCGTCGAGAATACCGATCTGAAATTATGAATTTATAACTCCATGCTCGTTAGATTTACTACAATTCTTCTATACTGTTATAAAAGACGTTATTAGAAGTATAAACTTTTTACTATGCCGTACTTAGATCTCTTAGTTTAATTAAATCTACACTAAGGGCTCATATTAATGATAACATCAATTTTACTAATCGCGCCTTTATTATAAATATTATATCCACTTTTGGGTTGAAATAGATACATTTCTTAAGGGTTCCGACGAGTTGATTTTATAAGTAAATAAGTGCCATGTCATCTATCACGTAATCTGAATTTAAATATTAACTCTTATTGTGGAGATGGAGAGTGGAGATTTCTTTTTTGAAGAAAAGCAAAAAATACGCAAAAGCAAAAATAAGTTTAATAAAACTAAGTTGAAAATTATTTTTTAGTGATCGTATATTTTTTATAGAGTTGTATTTATGGTATACTATACAAAATGAAAACATGGGTTAACATAATGTATAAGGTCTTAGGTAAGTAAGGTAAGTGGTTTAGACAGACAGCAAACATAATAAACCTTTCTCGTGTGCCCTTGTCGATATGAACGTGTTTCTAAATTTGTAAGTGCGTGTAAAAACAGATTAGGTCGAAACTATGTTGTTGTTCGCCTTCAAGCGACAATGCCGGAAGACCTTATTTTCCGGTCGGCGGGTCTTAAATTTTTGTTTCTAATCGTGTGCACAACAAATTTATTGTTTACTAGCTGTTGTTTTCAACATCGTCAGCGTAAAAGTAATACATACAGACAATTTTTTTTTAAATTGTTATTTTCTTTGCTCTAAGCGACACAATTACATTAATTTAACAATTTTTTTTTCAAATATCATGGGGACATATCGTTTTTATTAACTGTATGAATTTCTTAGTTTAACAATAATCTATATCCTCGAGAAAAGTTTGAATCTAGTAGATCTTCATGGGCAACAATAATTAAGTGAATCAGATGATGACCGTATGTTTTTATACATGTCTTTGGGTTGGAAACACACGAAAAGACGATTTACGAGGTTGTTACGCATATTTGGATCATTTAAACTAAAAAAAAATTGCAAATATACGTAAGCGGTATGCTGCTTATATCCTTGATGGCCTATATCGAGTGTATAGGGAGGTGCCAGTCGGTGCCGTCTGCCGCAGAGTTTCCCGCCAATCGATACGCGCCGCCTCGACCTCACAAATACCAGACCTCGCCATTGATATGGACTTCGGTAACTCTTACGAAAGACGCTCCAGATATAACAGGGTAAACATTTTTTTATTGTAAACTAATTTAAAAAAAATTACGCGTAAGATTTTTCCGCAAATTTTGAATACTATCTTAACAGTTGGATTTATTTTTGTAAGTGTACTAAATTCTTTATTTAAAAGAGCTATGACATGATACCTCCTTTTTATTTCTGAATCTAAATTCACGTGACTATTACTTCAACTCTAGTGCCAAAGGTAAATTACGTATGTGAGTGTGTGTGTGTGTAATTTATTATATTCTCTTTTATAGACTTGTTTGTTATTATTATTCATTGTTTACAATACATTTATTTATTTTAAAAGAAGTCAATGAAATCATATTGTAAATATTAAGAAAAAGAGATTCTTTTGTAAAGAATATAAGGTTTTCAATTGTAACTTTTTATTATTATACATTTTTTTCATAGCATTTCTATTTAAAAATTTTGTCAAGAATAAATTCATTTTTTATCACTTCGTTCTCTTAATAACTTATGTTATCTAGATGTAATTCAAATGACAGAACTCAGTCTTCCTAGTTAGTGTTTATGATACTAAAGATATTTAGCTTTAGCTACATTCATGCAAACAAATAGAACAATTAAATGAATAAAAAAATAAAACTCAAAAATATAGTGTTTAATGTTTTTTTCACAAATTGCTAAGATTCTGTTACTACCGCCATTGAATCAATAAGAATAAGTTGAATAGCTACTTACATTCTTGTCAGGAAACCTAGCAGCTAGTCCATGTCCAAGTAGAGAGGTGAGTGTGCTCTTGCCCACACCACCCTTGCCCGACAGCACCAGGATCTTGTGCTTCACATTACTGAGACGGTTTTTTATCAATTCTATTGCAGGGTCTGGTCCTGCTGGCACACCTGTATATAAACATTGATTATGTCTATTACAGTTATTAATACAGTCTCGAAACAATTAACAATATTCTTTTTATTATATTTGATTAAGTGTGGTTTATAACAATCACTTACATCCATCTCTTTTGTAGAACGTTATAGCCTTCTTTTATAAAATCCATTTAGCAAAATGTTAATAAATTGCAAGAGCTCATGAAATTTCATAAGATATAAAAATAATACAATTTGCAAAACGAGAACTTGTGTATATATGTATTAGATATGCCCTTCGTTACAACTATTTAATCAATGCAAGTATTGCGAAATGTTTTTATTATGAAAGCTCAAAGTCTATCGTACCTGACGCGCAAATGTTCTGATTGGGACAACCAGCACAAGCTGACGCCTTCCCCGCATCCTCGCTCTGGGTTCCAGGGCAATCTGCAGCACAATAAAGGGGGAAATTATGAAAAATTATGACATTTCTGAATATTTATTTGATAATAATAAAAACATTACGGTTAGGTGCATTTTCAGGGATGTTACTCATTGTTGTGGTTGTTATTTTCTTTATATTACACGGTTTTTTGGTTAAAACTTGGGTTTTACTGTAAATACAAATATCTACACTTCGCAATAAAACATTAACCGTAACTTGAACTTGTGATTGAAATCAAATTGAAATGAAATAGTGTTTTATTGACAATGTCATTTTATGACAATCTCCAATGACATTGACATTGTGATTTGCGTTTAAGAATAGCATTTGTGGAAACACATGTAGACTCATTAAATTCAACTATCGTCATTAAACTACGATAACATATTTTTGAAATCTAATATTGGAATATTATTGTAATCATAAGTTTAACATACCAAAAACATATATGAACTTTATTAAACTAGTTTTTGAAATACTGTTCAAATCGTAGCTGTTCGCGGTTCTGGAATATTGACATTGTTATTATTTCAAATGATACTGGAATGACTTAATTTAATTTTTATACTAATTTTATTTTATATATTTACATATATTTAACATAGCACCATGGCTAAAGAAGTTTCCATGTGTACGGTACGAAAAAAATCATTTTTCTGTTTGGAAATAATCTTGAAATATATAATAACTCAATTTTAAATTCTATAGCAACTCCAACAATGGAGCCCAGTAAAGCCAACTGGGAGTACTCCCAGTGTCCCGCCACAAGTAGGCTACTGCTTCCATACTCCAAAAAAACACCCTTGGAGGCCTATCATGGGTTACGAAGAAATAGAAGTAACACCTATGTAAGTTTTACCGCTCTTTTATTTAACAGCTGCCGTTGCCAATTCTATTACTAACGCAGCACATAATATATATCCAGGCCCTCGCAACCGATAACAAATACTATGGTGGATCCGTGTTACACGTCGGAAGGTATGGCGGCGGAGCCACTGCGATTTCCTAACCTGGTGACCGGGTTCGACCGAAGCCCCGAGCACGCCGCGCGCGCAGCGCTCTACACGCGCTACACTCAGCACGAGTGGAACCAGAACAGTATCAGGAACTACAACGAGTCAGATGCCAAGAGAAATTTTTCGGAGAGAGTCCGAAACGACATTATGAGGATGTTACGGTAAAAACGCACTTTTAAGAAATGGTAGTTTTATGTAAAATCAAATAAGTTGATAAATGTTTTATTTTCTTTTCCGTCACAGGGAGACGGATGAAATTGGCGCGCAAGGTCAGCGGGATTCGGGCAGGAAAATCGGCGAACGTATCACGGACACCACGTTCTGGCGGAATGAGGTAACATGAGGCAGCAAGGAGTGACATGTTGCGACGGGAGCTAGACGGCCTGTGCTCTGTTCAGGTGGCGATAGAGATGGAGCGGCTGGTGGCGACGTGCGAGCGGCTGACGGACACGCGCCGGCAGCTGGAGCGCGCGGTGGCCGGCATCGAGGGCCCGCTGCACATCGTGCAGGAGTGCCTCTACCATCGCGAGAAGAGACAGGGTACAATACGCTTCTGATATTATTTTGTGTAATAGTTTTGTCGCTCTCTGATATACTTAGCTGAATGCAAAGACAACGGTCATTTATAGCATATTCCATTCATTCTTTTCGTAATATCGTGTAGGTTTGGAGCAAGTGCACGACACAGTGGAACAGTCACTACTCAAGGAGGTTGCGATCCTTCGCGAGTGCCAGGATAAGTTCCGAAATATGTTGGAAAAGGTAAATATCAGATGGGGTGGTTTTTCCATTTTTCCTTTTCTTAGAATTTTATCGACTCTCAGAATAGAAAGGACCCTAGTATAATACTTTTTTAAAATGTATCAGTTGCGTATTTGCTAAAGCCAAGCGATTCATGCAACTTGTACGTGCAAGTGAAAACAATCTTCTAGCATCGCCTCAGTGAATGCGAGAAGTATTAGTGTGACGTATGTGTGCAGGTTCGGCAGCAGGCCAAGAACTGCCGCGCGACGCAGCACGAGCTGGAGAGCGACATGCGCAACAAGGAGTACGCGCTCGGCATCGACAACATGTGCCACCAGCTCAACAACTTCTCCAAGGTCAAGTCGACAACATTTAAATATCAGTGCTCGGTTTATTCACGAGCTTATTCATACTTATTTTAATGAAAACAAAGAGAAAACGAATTATTTTGTTTTTCATGTTAATGTTTGCAATCTCCACAGGGCTTACAATTCTACGCGGGCATCGAGCGCTACGACCCGACAGTGTGCGACGCGCAGCGCTGGGCCGCCGCCAGCGCCGCCACGCTGCAGCGCTCGCAGTCAGAGCGCGCCAAGGCCGTGCAGATGCTCTCCGGTCACTACACACACTAATATTTATTACTTCCGAAAACTCTTCATTTCTCTGACAAATAAGAAAGTAGCCATAACCGGGGATCTTATTTGTTCAAAAATCAAATGATTCGCAGACACGGACAACTTGATAAATGTGTCGGCGACGGAGATCTGGGACCAGTGGAGCAACACCAACAGCGCCTTCACGCGCCGCATCGCGGAGACCATCGAGATCAAGAACAAGCTGCAGCTGCATCTGCACAAGGTACCATCGCACCGGCTTCCTTCCTCCCTACAGGATGACCTACTCGGTGGCGTATATAAAAATGGTTGTAAATGTGTGTTTAGGTGCAGAACGAGATATTCGACATCGAGAAGACGCTGGAGCTGCTGAACAAGGCTATCGAGGACAAGCTGCAGCCCATGAAGGTGGCGCACAGCCGGCTGCAGGCGCGCATCAACCGCCCGCACCTCGAGAAGTGCCGCGACTATGCACAGACCAGGTCGCTTAACGTATTTCATTCATTAAGTTTGCATTTAATCGATCTTAAGATCGCAATACCAATCAAATAAATCTCAAAGATATAATATTGATTTCGACCAAGAGAGTTTATCGCTGAGCAGTGACACAGAGCACTATAAAGAAGCGGTCTGTTGGTAGGCTGGTGAAGGAGGTGTGCGACCTGCAGGAGACCATGGAGCAGCTGCGGTCGAAGATCGCGACGGCGGAGGGGACGCACCAGACGCTGCTGGGCGTGCGCGCCTCGCTGGAGGCCGACCTGCGCAACAAGGCCGCCACACTCTTCATAGACCGCGACCAGTGCATGGGCCTGCGCCGCGGATACCCCGTCACCGCCGCCATCAAAGCTTAGCACTCACTCAACTACATTCACGAATAAAGCTGTTTTGTTTTCCGTCCTCTTCGTTATTTCCACCAGTACGAATAATTCGAAAAATTCTTTGAAATGGGATTCAAAGAATTCGTATACGAAAATTAAAAAAATTGTAAAACGTGATAATGTTTTTTGAGATATAATATTGTGATACAAAGCAGTTCCGCCGATTAAACTGATTCCAACAATCAGCCGTAAAAGAATATTTTGTGTCTTCACTAAAACATCTACAAGATATGCAATCAAACAACAATTCAAAACACAAACTTTTTATTTCATTTACAACAAAAATTATAATGAATAAGTCCTTAGTTCCACATTTGTGCCTAAAAATAACTCTTAAATACTGCACAAAACTTAACTACATTCTTTCACTGTCAAAGTCTCTTGGATATTTCACTATATCTTGCGTTGTTTTATTTCACGAAGGTTGGTATTGGGAGCTTGACACCTTCTTTGGCTTCAAAGAATGTGTAAGAGAGCACAATTTCTTCAACATACTCCATCTTGGGATCCTCCGTAAACTCAGGGTCAATGTAAAAGAATACTGGCATGTCTACCTACAACAAAATGTGCATAATATCAGTATGGATTTCAGTATCAGGTTAAGTTTACATATGTTATTGTAATTGCCCTCCTTCTCATTTCCTTTAGAAAAACTGAGGTAGCAGTAATGTTACCTGCTCGTGTGGATTTAACATTTGCTCCTCGAAACAGAAGCACTGTATCTTGTTAAAGTACTGGCCAGCTTCAAATGGGATGACATTATAGGTACTAATGCCTACTACAGGCTTATCTGTTGGATTTCGCGCTGTGTAGAATGCAAGTGCAGTCTCTCCAGGCAACACCTGCAAAATATTTGATGTAAAATTTAAAATAATGCTTATTTTTTTTAATAGGTAACATTCTATTTTACTGACCGTAATATCATTTTGTTGTGGTTTGAAATTCCATTGCATGGAGGAAGCAACATCAGCATTGAAGCGCACTTTAATTGGCCGCTCTTGTACTGCCTTCATGTTGCTGACTGTCTCCGCAGGCTCAGCTTGTCCTGTTGTTCCACCATAGCTGTATGCCTATTTTATACAAACATACATATTGAATAAAATTTGCTGTATTTAAAGATCAAAGCTGGGTTGTCATCTAACAAAATGATAACTGCCTTAGAAGAGTTTTACATCTAACCACTGATGGAACATTAGGGCGCTAATACTTGTGTGATAGAAAAACTAATTCTGTATAGTACTGTAATGATTCAAGCGTTGGATTCAAGAACGTAGTTTCCTTTGTAACGATGATTAAGTAAAGTAATAGCTTATATTGGCAGTGTATGTTTCTACACAAAACAATAAAATCTTCGAATGCCATAAAATTACATGTTTTACTAACCTGACAAAATATTCTATAAAGCGGCACTGCTGCGTAACTTAAGCCCACAGTCGCTATACCGAGAGCTATCATATAATTCAGTGTTGATCTTATTTTTTTCCTTTCATTACTTATTCCGCGACTAACATAAACATTGGGTATATTTTTTGCCGGAATCAGCAGAGGTGGCACCAAATTAAGGACTCGGTTTTGCCTTAAATTATAAAAACTCCTATTCATACAAAGTAGTCGATTCATCTTAGGTTAATAATATTTTTAGTCATTTATATTAAAAAATAATAAGGATTTTTCCTCATAACCTAACCATGGCTTGTCAAAATCTTGTCATACTGACATGAAATGTCAAAATCATATGGTTATGTAATTCCAATGTCCAAAATCTATGACAAATTGTAAAACTACCAGAGAAGAGTGTTAACAAATAATTATATGACCGAAAATTAACAACCCTATATTTTTGAGGGCGCCACAATCTCCATTGATATTCCAATATTCAACTAACAAACCAACGTCATTTAAAAATTAAATAGATTATTTTTTGACTTATAGCTTTATCATGGAACTCAGGGCACGACCTCTAAAATTACAACCCAAGTACAATAAAATATTTTGACAGCTAATTTTTATTTAATCTAGTATAACAAAATGGATTTTATATACTGAATCGACGACTATGTAGGAAATAAACATTACACAAAATTACAATTTTATACAATTAAAGGGGATTACCCTGTCAATGTCGAGTTGTGCCAATGCTGAAAGACAATTACAATTTGGGCTTTACATTTTTATCATAAGGTAGAAAATGACCAAACGGCAGGCTGAATTCGCCGAAGTACCGGAGCGATAGCTGCCTATGCAATCGACAATAGAGGGGACGCACAGAAAGTGAATATTTCCCTTTACTCTAAATCTCATTCGACAAAACCACTTCCCATCCTTTCCTTAAGAAATGGGTAGAAAGGGAAAAAGGGACTAAAATTAGAAATCCGGCGGGGACGCTTATGAGACGAAAAGTGGAATTACTTCTACTTGACGCCAGTCTTCTGTTTGGTCGCGGTATTTCACCGGTCTAACTGTCCCAATTGTGCAGCAGATGTTATTGCTGGCGTTTAGGACTTTTAAAAATATGCAATAGTTTATAATAGAAACCGTAGAATAGATATCGCGTAGTCTGGAAAACCGAATTCGAGCCAGCTGTGCGAGTGTATCGAGTATCTGAAAATACTAATTATTGCATTTCTCAATAGATAACTAGATACATTAATTTGAGCACCACTGTTTTGTTAGGCATACCGTTCTTTTTGCCAATCAAGAGGTTTACGTTACTGAATATAAAACTGTCAGTTTTACTTAAACTTTAATTAATATCACAAAGTTATCGTCACTTTAGCTCATATCATCGCTTGTATTCTAAAGCCGTTACTTTATGTTTTGTCTTGATGTGGGCGTCTGTGTGCGTCTTTTGATACGCTTTGTAAGTACATTCCAGGAAAGGGCATCTGAACATAGGTTCCTTGCCGCATTCGTATGTCACGTGACGTCTGTATGTGCTCTTGTGCCTATACTTCCTCTTGCACTTTTCGCACTCGAAACTTGTTTCATACCGCGACCAGTAGTTTTTGGTCTTCATTGGCACAATAGGCAACATATTTTGCATCATCGTTTTAAAGAAATCCACCTCACCTGCAACAATGAAATCAAACGCTCAAAAGCTTTATACTAAATAGCTATGACGCTCTTTGTTAACTACCTACCCACTAAATCACTACTGTACCTTATAATAACATTAATATATTTCATAAAGGATGATTAGAAAAACTAGGATTTTATTAAACCAAGAACATTTATTCACATGCATAATAATCATTAATTTAAAAAAATCAAACCAAACACGCTTTATGCATTTGAACTAAAAATACATCAACAGTTTGTACGTCACGTAACGTTTGTGCGTCAATTGTCACAAAAATGACATTTTCTTGGTAACATTATTATCAAAAGTTATATCTTAGTAAAATATTGCAATTTAATTATTACTACTTTCCTCTATTATGCATTTTTCTCGCTTCATCTGTGCTTGGATCATGCCTAGTTTAGTCTTACATATTCGTCTGGCGAAAAATTGAATTGAAAATTACGAGTTCAACAAAGAAAAATCATTTTCATATTTGACTGAACTGGTAGATAAACTCAATCCTTGTTTTTCCTTAATGTTAAAAACAGACTATTTACTACCAAGATATCACTTATTCCCGTCGCCTAGAAATACACTCCAGTTGATACAGGTTGCTCTTTCCAACTTTCTTATTTTATTTCAACAGCGGTCTAGTATCTGTTTCATTCAACAGTTATGTACGTCTAACGACGTCAACTGTTATTTTGCCTATAGTATTGCTTCAATATATATATTAAAACTGTATCAGCCAAGTTTAGGTCTTCTTATGTCTCTTGCTTGTAATACATTCCAGCATGTCCAAGTATCCACGGTAATTCGCTTTAGAGTAGATGTTTCGAGTATATTCTTCTCAAAACGAAATTACCATATAATAAAGTGCAATTAATAGTTAACATTAAAATTATTTATAACCGGACTGATTCGTAATTAACCAACGTTCGACTAAATTCTTGCACAGACTAAGGCATATAATGCTAAATACAAGCTACCAGACGTAAATAAATCTGACCAGGTCTAAAACATCACACGATATATCTTATACAATATTGTTAAAATTTAGTTAAGGCACATAGAGAATTGACAATGGTCTCATTAGGAACACATTAATTACATTGTAGGGGTGGTTCCCGTTGGGTTGAACGGCCCATCGATCGAACGGCCTATGGGAATGTTTTCCCTTTGGGTCGAACGAATCCATAGGATCAATCGAATCAATGGTAAAAAACACCCTATTGTAGATACTATTGTATCACAATTTTAGACTATAGTAGACACATTTCTTTGGCTTTTCATTACCATGTATAAACATTATTAATATAATTTACATATTATAACAATATAAAAGTATACAGTAATTGTGTTAGCTTAAAACTTGTTTTCTTCATTGTTAGTTTTTGGTGGGTCTTAACACTTAAATATTATGCTTATTATATTATGTTGAATAAACGATTTTTTTTATAGCTATGTTCATATGTGCATATGTTCTATAAAATCTGAAAAAAATGTATAAAAAGTTTTCTTTGTAGAAAAAGTGTGCGTATTACGTTATAATAACGAATTCTTTCTTTGAATTCAATGAGTTGACAAACTCTTATAACCTCTACTTTCTCTGTCCTAATCAAACTTTATGTACACAATATAATTTGAGTGAAAAATATTTTTTTTATAAAAACTTAACTATGAACAATAATAATTTAGGTACTTAACATTATTTTGGTTTCAAGGCACTTATTACTTACAAAACTAAACTCGACTGGAAGAGTCTTTGGTTTTAAATATTGCTTGGATATTAATTTGAACTTTATAGGTAACTTATATAACAGTAACAAATGCAAAAAATAATATAGGTTAACAGAAATACTGAACACTATAATACAAATCTCGATAAAATTTTAGTATTTATAGATAAAAGTTTCTTTGGTAACACAACCAACACACGCTTAATATTAATTTTATAACGAGAACAAGAAAATGTAACAAAATTATAATATATGTGTAAAAATCAAAAACAAAATTGCCTTATTTATAAATTAACATCTCCAAATAGACATTCACAGAAACGACATCGATGTTCTGGCAACATCTTCATTACGCGAACCTGTTACGTATTTTATACCCGCAGAACATTAAAATGATAAAACTACTTATCAAACAGCTGCCATTGTATACATTTTCTTTCATAACTTATTATTAGTAAGACCAAATACATCTGAAAAACGATAAAACCAAACAATTAGTTTACTTCAACAATGTCTTTCTACTAGTATAAATATAAACTTTGATATGGCAAGACTACACAAGATTTTCTAAACGTTTTTTTAGTTATATATAAAGGTAACTTTTAAAGTGTTGCTAGTGGGAAGACTGAATTTTTCTTAAATATCTAATGTTAAAATTCAAATAATTATAAAAATCCCCGCATCTCGCCAATCGTGTCTTGTATCTTCGAGTTAAGTAGAAGAATCCTTCGCTTCCTTTGTTTCTGCCAAAGGACTGCAAAAGAGAAGTGGATATTTACATATTTGTAATTACAATTTGGTATAAACAAATAATCATGGTGTGAAATGGTCTCAGTTACTTATTATATACATATATAGAATAACTAGTAGTAACGGTGACCACTTCTAGATGAGAACGGCATGCTAGTAGTGAATGAGTGCGTAGAATTAGGCGCGGTACAGACAGGTCGCTAGCACGACGAGTTGAATGCCGAGTTAGTACGGTTACCGTTGTACAACAGACGGTGTGGGCGTTAGAAAGGCGGTTAGTGAAGGTCAAACGTACTGAGACCTGTGGGGCGGGCGGTCATTCGGACACGAAGTCGACCTTCTCGGGCAGGTCTTTGTGCAGATGGCGCTCGTGCAGCAGCAGGTTGTGCTTCTGGTAGGCACGGTAGACGCAGTAGGGGCACTTGAAGCTGGGCTGCTTGCGGCACTCGTACTTCATGTGCCGCTGCAGCGAGCCCTTGTGCTTGTACTTGTTGCCGCAGTCGCCGCACTCGTGCAGCGTCCAGCGCGACTTGCCCCCGCCCCCCGCCGCCCCGCACCCGCCCGCCAGCCCCGCCGTACCGTAACCCAATATATAAGGCGAGTACAACTGTGCAACTGAAAAGTGAGCAAATACAAAATAAATACGTGCAAATAAACAAAGCGCCCGCTACCACCGTGTGCCGAAGCCAAGCCACCATATTTTGTAGGAAAATATTGTGCCGCAAGCGTACGATAATGCACCATGTCTCCCATTAATTTGCTCTTATCAATGTCTAAGGGTATTAATCGATATTTATCTAAATATTGTATCTCAATTCCAGAGAGCATGCCACCGAATTCACCGATTTAAACTTAAATTGGAAATGGCCCTTCAACTGTACACTTTCCATTTTAAGTTTAGCAAGTCAAGTAGGATTAGGATATGACACATGCATAACATTATTCTAAAAATAAAAATATATACACAATAGCTATAATTAATAGATGCGGTTATTTATACAGTTTGTTCAATACACCCAAAAGGTTAATTCTACTTGTAGCCCTTACAACTAAACAATCGGGTGACGATGACAATAATTCACATTGAAACAAATATATATCAAGAATAGCAACTTTATTAAAAATACAAAAAAGGTTATAAAAATACAATCAAATGCATTTCAAATCACTGCAACTTCTTATTGACAATGTCATTGTGTTTAGTTTCAGCAAATATTGTAGGACATATCACTAGGCCTGCAGATGTCGGCTCGCCGACTCGCTCTACTTATATTTGAGAGTATCTTTATCACAGCTATGTAATACTCATTATTGTCAGGAATTCGAATGATACGGTGCGAACGTGTTTGTCACAACCTAGATATTTAGCAATAACAAGTTACATATTCATCGATTTCAATGTATCGCATTGAAATGTTTTAAATCCTAATGACTAACGTTTCAAAGGCACTTATTAATATTGAATTGACTTGCATGCTTGTACTTTGTGAACTCTACATTGATTGTACGATGGTAACTCCGACGGATATCTAATAATAATGTAGTAAATATGCAGAAATACTCAATGGCAAGTTACTTTCTATGCGTCTTCTATTCATTTCACACATACATCATTCCAATCTCGATACGACACATCTTGAGGAACATTTTAACGATTTAACTTTAAAATTATAAAATAAAGCGGCTTTTGATCGATTGAGTATATCTGCCTACCCGACTACAGACTAATTCTTATAATTCCTAAATGGTAATGTATAAAATACTTAAGAGTAACTACGTGGAAGATTCATTACAACATCAAACGTAACAAACAAACATTTTGTGTACGATTTCAATATATATTTGAATGGCAGTGGCCACGTCAACAACTACGACATAAGGCACTCGCAGAGACGTCTCTGAACAACCGCATTGGTCCCGGAGTCGAGGAAACCTCTACTAAAATACTTCATCACGAGGAACTTATCTATCGAGAGCTTCTCTAATTGATCGCGTTACATTATCAAAATATAATTTCAAATGAGTTCTTAATTAATATAAATGCATTACACGTAAAGAGATCTAAAAATAATCCATTAAAAATTAACTTATCTGAGTATTACAAAATAATGGAACATGCATTATGGCAAAGAACTAGAGCTTGCTAACTAAGCGAAAATAGCTTCATTTCGATTAAAACTAGGCTAGGTATACAAGACGATACCGCGGCACCGCGCGGCCCAGCGGGGCTTGCGGCGGCTCCGCCTCCCCGCCCCAAAAGTCGTCGTCTTCATTTAGCAAATAGTAACTGCGATTGGTAACAAATACAAACTACGCTTCCTGCGCGAGGAAATCCGTCTATCGAATCTAACGCCTACCTACTCGAGTAAACCAGGAATGATAAAATACAGTTTAAATGCTGTACATATTAAAATATATAAAAAAAATTAAAAAAGCGTACCTAGACACGAAATCACTTTCCTTAACGTATAGTGAATAAATGCAACAGTCGGTAGCACCGCTGCAAATAGTGCAATCAGCGCGAATACTAGCAGTAATTCGTCATGAGTTTAAAAATCGTACGGTAGGTATGTAGCGCGTCACCGGCGCCACTATCACAAGGCTTGCATCACATCTATCACAATCTGGCGGACGCTACATGCACGCGTCCACGTTGTCCTGCTTGATGTACGGCTCCGGCTTGACGTGCAGCTCACGGTGCATGCGCTCCATGTGGCGCGCGATGTGCATCTTCTGCTTGGCGCGATAGACGCAGTAGGGGCACTGGAACTGCGGCTCCTTGCCGCACTCCCACTTCTGGTGGTTGCGCAGCGACGACTTCAGCTTGTAGCCGCGGCCGCAGTCGGGGCACGCGAAGCACGCGTCGCGCCCGTCGCGCGGCTCCCGCGCCGCCTCGCGAGCGCCCCGCACGCCGCCGCACAGCGGCAGCGCCAGCCGCGCCGACCACTGCTCCCACGACAGCCCGCCGATGCGCGAGAACGACACGTCCTCCGGCCCTGAAACCCACGTCACCCACCACGTCATGCCGCGCTCTATAACGCCGCGCCCTCGACAACACACGCAACAAGCAAACATTACATACGAATACATATATACATACATAAATACATACTATATATAATATACATAATACATACACATACATAGATACGTACATAGACTAGATACTACTGTGAGTGTGACCACCGAGTGCTGTGACGAAAGCGAAAGGAAAAGTAAAAAGAAACAAAACAAGGAGGAGCTCAAAACGTTTATTGGGAAGTAAAGCGAGCCGCGTGTCGTCGGGCTGTGGCTGGCGGGCGGGCAGGCGGCCACCCGCGCCACCCGCACCACCCGCACCACGACCAACAAATGGATGGGCTTTGGTCTGTATCGCCCACCCTCGATACACTTTGTTAATAAATGTAGTCTCCCGAGTCACGGGCTTTCTCGTCTACCTGAAATTATTAATTATATTAGTATGAACAAAAAGAAAGGGAAAACGATCGGACTCATGCACGAGGCGAAAAGAGAAGCGGTGAGGTGCAGCAGGCCACATGCAAGCATGCGCGGTTAGACAAAAACATACTTAACGGAATCCAGCGACTTACCTAAACATTGCTAAAATTAAAACAAAAAGTGAACAATGAGGAAAATGGTTGCAATAAAAAGCGAAAAGAAACTCAAATATGGTACACTATATTTTTATTATATTCAACTTTTCTACCAAGTAAAACCCCAATATATTCATATAAAAATCACACTAATCGATTAACTAGTTTTCCAATAATATTAACAAACAATGTAAACTTTGAAAACATCCAAACGGTAAGCCATCATCGGTATCGCATCAGTACCTCACACCGCGACGACTAATAAACTAATACTGACTTTGGTCAAATAGCTCTGTTATCCTAGGTCAACAAAAATATCAACAGTAATATATGCTAAGTGTTATTGCGATGTCAATATCGAGGCTAATATCAACCGACATACATGATTACAGCAGTTTTTGAACACATTCGCTTTCATCCCACTACACCGAAACAATAAACCGAACAACATAATAAATAATATTTATCTACAGGTAACATTGTAGGCACATTATTCTGAGCTTTCTCTTCAGTTCGCATCGTCCCGCCTCCGCTATAACTATCCTAATAAACAATTTCTTTATAACATTAATTAACTTTGGATTTTCTACTAACAATGTTGGGAAGACGAGAGTGAACAATGTTCTCGACGACGGCCACATCGAACGATCAACAATAAATACGTCGTCAGAGTAACGCCGGCCTCTATGAGGCGAACTAACTCTACCCGTGATAAAAAAAAATTGCATTTGCAGGATTTTCTATATAAATGTTATCTAAAAACAAAACACAATACACTAAAATTACTTAATACCATTGCACTAATAAAATTTGGAATTATCCCTTGCAAGGAATGTCAGGACATTAAAACTATCAAATTCGAGTCGGTTTGTCCAAAATGAAAATGTGATTTCATTTCGAGCGTCTTCACTTGGAGCAGTTTGGAGCAGGTTGCAGCGGGCTCGTGCGGCCTCAGCTCGCCCGAGTCCCAGGGTGCTGTCTCGAAAGAAATACTCGAGGGTCAGTCTTAACTAACTTAATAAACTCTTCCAACAAAAACAACAAAACTAACGCTAAGCCGTTAGGGAATGTGCTCATTACATCTATCTATCTATCTTTAGTGTATATTAAACTTAAAACGTCTCCAACAAAAATAAAATTAATAAAATGTAAATATAAATATTATTGCAGTACCGATTTGGTTAGGTATCTACTTTGGTCTAACGGTTCCGCTGAGAACATCCTGTACGTCGTGTACAAGTGGGGGGCGGGGTGTTGGTGTTGGTGTTGGTGGTGGTGGTGGTGGCGGCGGAGCACTAGACGGAGGTCTTCTTGTTGCGGCGCACCTTGTTGCTGGCGAAGGCGTACCACTCGTCGTGGTGGTGCTTGCGGATGTGCACGCCGAGGTTGCCGCGCTGCTTGGCGCGGTATGAGCAGTAGGGGCACTGGTGCGCGGGCGCCTTGCCGCCGCACTCCACGTTCTCGTGCCGGCGCAGCGTGGACTTCCAGCGGTACTTCTTGCCGCAGTGCCGACACTCGAACTGCCGGCTCGCCTCGTCCGAGCCGCTGCCCTCGCGCTTGCCGTACCCCTTGCCCTCGCCCTTGGCGTCGAGCGCCTCGTAGGGATCGAGCGCGCCCCCCACTCCCGCCCCCAGGCCGGCCGCCGCGCTCTCGTACAACGCCTCCGTCTCGTCGGGCAGCACGATGTCGTCGGTGTCGTCGTACTCGGCGTCCGAGTCGTGGTCGTCGCGCTTGGGCTTGTAGTCGGCGAGGGCGAGCGTGTTGTTGTTCTGCAGGAAGGCGTGCTGCAGCAGCAGCGGCTTCATGGTGTCGGGCACGGCGGCGAGCGCGTCGAGCGCCTGGGGCGAGTGCAGAGCGGCGGCGAGCTGCAGGCGCGGCGGGGCGAGCGCGCCGCCCTGCCGGCCCGACAGCAGCGACAACAGAGCCGAGGGGAGCTCCTTGTGCAGCTCTGTAATGGAACACATTAACGGTATTGCAAATCATAAGTAAAGCGCCACTACGTACTGACTCATGTTAATACTACCGAAGGCTCAAATAAAATTAAGGAACCAAAGAAATGCGTTATAATAAAAAAAATATATAAAAAAATTATCTCTGTTAGAAATCATAAAAGGCGGAAGCTTCTAAATCATGCAGACATGCACAGATCAAAACGTAACGTTCGACTAAGTTTAATCTTCCCATAAGAGGATCGCAGCCGAGTGGGGAGGGCCAAATGAAAAGCGCACGATAACGCGAAAAGTTATTTAATGGTCCAAAAATATCAATCGTTCTTAATAGTAACATAAGTATACAAGGCTCATATAAAACTTTACGTAGTAATACCATTAACTATAAGGAAGATCGAGTTAGCAATAAGGCACGAGTGGTGTGTGTTGTGGTGGCCGCGGGGCGCGGGGCGCGGGGCGTCACTTGACGAGCGCGGCGTGGGGCGCGTGGGGCGCGTGCGGGGCGGCGCGGGCGGCGGCGTGCGGGGACGCGGGGTGCTTCTTCTCGATGTGCTTCTTGAGCTCGTTGCGGCGGTGCTTGCTGTAGGCGCAGTGCGGGCACTTGTACTGGGGCTCGCGGCCGCACTCGAGCGTCACGTGGCGCACGAGGTTCTTGCGCGCGTTGTAGCAGCGCTGGCAGTTGGGGCAGCGGTATCCCTTGTCCGTCTTGTACTGGGCGCAGGGCAGCTGGCTGCCGCCGCGCGGGAATACGTTGTAGCGCGCCTCCTGCTTCACCTCGACGGGCGCGGGGGGCGTGGCGGGCGCGGCGGGTGCGGTGGGCGCGGGGGGCGCGGCGACGGGCTGCGCCTGCCTCTTGTTCTCCTTGGCGTCCTCGGGCGGGGAGTTGGCGGAGGTGACGTTCTTGAGAATGGCGAGGGTGGTGGTGTTGCCGCTCTCCTCGTTTATTTTTTTGCTCCTTGTCATAATACTATGCCGCGGCGTCGACTTTCGACCTGAAATAAATAAAGACGGTACAGAACGTTTTGTTACGTCCTCCGGATGAATAGTTAATATGGTTCGCGTTAAAAATAACCCCAAAGCATTAAATAAAAACAATTTGTGTAACGAAACGAAAATATATTTAGAAAAAAGTAAGAAAAAAATGCACATAGCTTAAGCTTAATGCAACAAAACTTAAACAAAATCAACTTAACAAATATGCAACTTTTCGAGATCAATTATGAGATCGTAATCATCTTTTAATTACTTATGTTATTTTTTCAACAAAAGATCGTTTAACATGTTTAAATTGAGTTCTCATAACAATCCATGTTTGCATGTTACGAGCGAGACCATGATTGATTAGTCACAGTAACGAAAATAATATAAAGAAAATAAAATGAAACGGAAAATGAGGAAATAAAAAAGCGTGGGTTGCGGAGTTAGGGGGTGGCGGGGTGGCGGTGCTTGTGCTGCAGATGGAAGACGAGCGTCTTCTTCTGCGAGTACCGCTTGCCGCACAGCTCGCAGGCGAACTGCGGCCCCGTGTTGCACTCGTACTTCTCGTGACGCAGTCTGTTGCGCTTGTACTTGTAGTGCCGCTTGTTGCAAATTGAGCACACGTATTTTTTCTCCTTGTTTCCTCCTTGCCTCTCCTCTGTTACCTTCTTCTTACGACCCCGCTTCGAGATTTCTTTTACGACCACCGTGATATCCTGTTTCATCTTTTTGAGGCTACCTTCATTTTTGCCGATCCTTTTGGACGGTTTGAAACCCAGCTTCTTTTCCTGTTTAAATTTGATTTCTTTTTCCGCTTTAATTTCGAGAGTTTGATAGATTTGACGATTGGGACTTTTTTCTTTTTTAAGATAACTGCGGGTGATTGGGATGGACGTTTTGGCGTATTTGAGTTCGCATTTTATGATGGATGATTCTGCAAGGGCAAAAGAATGACAAGCGATAGTGAAATTATTAAAAGCATGGACAGGTTAGCAACAGATTTTGTTATTGTAGCAGACGCGGAGGCGGAGGCGGAGGCAAGGGCGGGAGCGGGGGCGGGGTCAGGGTGCTGCTCCGGGCTGAGCACCTCGCTCCCCCACTCGTGCAATCCATTAAGTTTGGAAAAGATGTAGACAAATATTTAAATAGAGTGATAAGCAAAAGTTAAAATTTAGGGCATGCGGGCAAAGAGGAAAAAGGAAATGTTACAAGACATTATTTTCTTTTTATTATTCTATCTGTGATAATCATATACATCATTGATATGCGACTCTATGCCCCTATTTCTTCGAATCGCTACTAAATTGGCCAATACTCAAAAATAAACAAAACAATAAATGAAATGCGCATCTTTTATGCTAAATGCATTAAAAATGAATGAAAATGTGACATGCCGTTCCGACGTCGATATTTTACATGTGCCTTTGCCTGACCTAACTGAACATGCACACAACGATAAGACGAGCGAAGTTACCGTATTCAAACATGAATTGCTAGGGAAACAAAAAAAATCTGCAGTGAAATCACATGTGAATGCAAAAAAAAATTATAAAAAAAGAGATAATAAAAATAATAAATAAATAAGCCACATAACCAGAAACTACTAGGGATAAGTGTAAATGATTTAGGTTTGTTTACCTGTCGCTTGGTGCGAGCGCTCCGACATCTTGATAAGACACAGCGGTGTTGTGGGGGCGGGCGCGTGCGGGCGCGTGCGGGCGCGTGCGGACGCGTGCGGCGCGGCGCCTGACAAAGAATACATCGAGCGGCGATCGCGCTACTCCAACCGATAACTAATCAAGTACTAGATATGACGGTGCGCGCAAAACTTTCTAGCGGCTACTAAAATAAACAATAAATGTTTGTAATCACCTCGGATGTAACTTACCGCAACAAATGTTCATCACCTGGTTAAATACAAAAGGTTGTGTTAGGAATTAGCCACAGTCCGGTTAATGTTAGGATGCGAGCCGGGGCCGGAGCGATGAGCATGCAATGGTGCGCAGCCGACACAGACAGATACCCAAGCCGAGGAACAACAAGTCCACAGAAGGCGACACGGAGATAATCAAAGTGTGCACTTACCTCGGCCGTGCTGTTACCTCGCCTTAAACAAAGGCTACATTTAAATAAAACCATTGTACCGTTTACCATTACCTGTTGCTCTGAAATACTCATCGTGATATATATGTGAAAAGAGATGTATACATTTGCAATAATATTAGTTAGTTTATAATATTAATATTAGATAGTAATTAAGATAAGTTTGTAGTTCACATGTGAAAACACTAGCACTCTCGTATCCGCTGTCGTCAGATATCTTTTATATATTATAACATTATAAATACAATATTTTAAAGCAATGGCCTGTGGTCTTATCAAATTATGGGAAGACATTGCGCATTTCATCCGTTCCTTGTACGACTGGGACGGTCCACTTCTGCTTAATCTACTATTACTTATTTACACACAATTAATGAACATTTAAAGTTAAGTAAAAGTGGAGAGTCCCGGACTAACAATCTCGAGTGCCATTGGAACATTTTGCGTTGACGGATAACTTAATATCGGCAGTAAGTAATGCGGCAAGGCAACGCAACATGTTGACGGGGGCGTGGCCGGAGTGGGGCGGGGGCGGGGC